TCCTGTCAGCACACAGACTATTTCATGTTGTGGAGGCCCTTGAACTGATGCTAGCAGAGAACATGCTGATGAAATTTCTCCGCTATACTTAGCTGACAGAAGGGAACTGAAATGGAGCTGCTGGAAAAGCCACTAGGCTTCTGCCATAGATGGCCCAAACCATCACCAGAATTGCAAAAATTGGATAGACCTACTGGTATACAGGAGTTTTTTGTTGGTAGGTTGAGGCATGTTAGGAGTTTATTGGTGAAATATTCTCATTTGAATACTTCGGGGATATTTTTTAAATTCCATCACTGAAATGAAAGGTTTCTCTAACACTGATCTGTTTTCAGTGCAGTCATCAGCAAGCACAGCTCTCAGCTTTGCTACACTTGGTAATCCCAGATACTGCACATATTTATTTGGGCTTGTTGAAACTATTTTCATTAAATATTAGAACTTGATGTGTCAACAGAGTTGTTAAGTGTTGTGGTATTCTGAAGAATCTTTCACTAGAGCACTGCATAACATAATGCTCTTAGTTGTTGAATTTACCAGGTTTGCCCTTAAATTTTATAATTGATGTTCATCTTAAAAGTCTGTGTTCATTCTGAATTACCTGTGTACTTGCTAGTGGTTTGTTACATATGTTTAATATATGATGGTTCTCAAACTAGACCAAGAGTCCTATAATTTTCAGAAGATCTGTCCACCATCCCATGAAAATGAATGAGTGATATTCTTCCCAACTAAGTTTTACAATGTATCAGGAATAGATGGTCTCTAACATTAATGAATTCTTCAGAGATATGCAAACTATGGATGTTCTAATGTTACAAGGTACTAGTTGAATAAATAGTAGAATTTGCATGAAACTATCTGAAACTATTTTGAAAATAATTGAAAACACAGAGATCTGAAACAAAATTCTATTTCTTGCCTCTGACCCAAGGTTAAAGAAAATGCACATATACTTCCTATTTTATAACTAATACTATGATCAATTAAAGCCTGCTTCAAAAATCGGTATGCTTACCCCATAAACAAGTTCTCCCACCATCCCATTCCAGATTTTTGTCTCTGGATCCCTTGCTCCATATTTTCCATCAGGAACAATGGCAATTTTGTACTTGATACCAATATGTTTTGCAATTTCTGATGCCAGATCTACACAGTATCCTTCAAACTTGTCATTCCCTTCAAACGTATCATGGTTTTTCTTGAACATAACATATGGGGCTTCCTATAATAAAAGAAGTAGAACTGTAAAGGAGAAGTGTACCAAATATACTCTGAAAAAAACCAACATGTCATGTACTGACCGAAAAACACACATTTTATAAAAAAATCATGGATAGTATTTGCACATTTAAATTAAAATTTATTAACAGAAATCCTTCTGGAAATGTATACCATTTACACCTTAATTTGGCTTATAAATTTGACAAGATTTTTGAACCTTACTTTGTTTTAAATGAAAGACTTTAGTGCAGTATATGCTGAATTTGAAGCACGAATAGAGGTTGAACCTATACAATGCAAAGGACTGTGAGATAATGAAGGTGCAAGGTACACTTCTGTCTTCAGGAAGTAAGCATTTCCTTTAACATAGTGTGGTTGCTGTTCAGGTAATTTCAGATGCAGAGTCTAAATGACTCGCTTTCTTGAGGTTTAGAATAGTTACTAATAGTTACTAAGAGGTTACATAAATTTTATTGAGAACATAGAAATATGTTCCTGAGGAAACATGTATCTTTCCCTTCAAACAAACAGTGCAGGTTCTGAAAGGTCTTTTAGGACGAATTTAAGTGACACACATGGAGACGAATGGTACTAAGTTGACAGTGACTTTAAATGCTGCATGAAAAAGAAGTACCAAAATATTTTTTTGCATGTTGAGTGCCACTGGAAACAAGTAAAACCTGTCTTAAAAAGTGGATCTTGCATTCCTCATGTAAATCATACTATCATAATAGTGAACATTATGTAATTGGGAAATCAAGGTCACATTTTTCTTTTTAGCTCTGTGTGGATTCAGACTTTAGCAATCATTAACTAAAACTAGACTTTCTCATGGTATTTTAAATCACTTCACATAATTCATATTCATAGCCAGTTCCAGATTAAATATTTGTCTAATATAAAGGGTGACTAATGTCACCCTTTGTTTGAATTTACAACACAAAATATTGGCAGCTTAAGTTTTCTCTGTGCTGGCCCTGATGAATGTTAGTCTTTTGACACTGACCTTGGTAATACTATGTCCTATTCACATCTTTCTTACAGATATAATTAGTACAAACATAAAAATAAACATGTAGTCTGACAATGTCTGTTTCACTGAAACTACATGAATATCAGCTGTATGCAACAGCAATTTTGTAACCTCTATTAGGGATTTAACAAGGGAGGATACATGGTATTACATGAGTAATAGGGGAACTTAATAAAGAAATTCCAAATTTTTTCAGTGTGTCAGGTAAATTTTTCCTTTCAGATACCAACATATAGAGTTGGGATCCACCCAAGAGAAGAACTTGATATGCAAGCCCAAACAGTATATTTAATGTACTCTTACAAGATGAAAAGGCAGAGAAACAGAAAACAGAGATTATACATGAGAGGCACTATTCTCTTTACTTATGTAAGTTTACTCCCTGTGGTAACTCTGTCAAGGACCCACCTCTGTATAGGTATGGCAGAACAGAGCTTTGTGAAATGAGGGGGGAGAAAGTTGTATGTGTGTTTACTTCAGTGTGAAAGGAATTAATTCAGAAATTCATTCAACACAGTTCAGGAATGGGGAAGTGCTAGTGTTTCCTTAAACACAGAGTGAGATTCCTAAGTATTGCAGGAATGTTTCACTATCAGGTGTGTTCCCAGAACACCTCTCCTCTCATCATCTTATGTTGTTCTCTGCTGTGGACATGGCTCTTTGGGCCCCAGAGCCTGAGCAGCAGTTCAGTGTGGGAGGCCACTGATGCATTATGGCCATTACTTCAGCTAAAGAACCACACAGCAAGGAAAAGTGTCCACAGTGATCACTCTCAAAGTCAAACTCTGTCTGGTTCCTTGACCTATATATAAATGTAAATGCCCAGAGAAATTTGAGGGTGAAAACAGCAGATTGTTGCATTTCTAGAGCACATAGTTATGACCCCTGCACAGCTAAGGATCACCAAGGACTTCTAAAACTGGGACAAGCACAACACAAACTGCTGTCATCCTGATCTGTGTGTCTTGGGCACTGAGAAGACCACAGAGCTACAATATTATCTATGCACTGTGATCACTGCAGCAATGCAGTGCAATGCCTTTGCCCATACAGAATTTGCATCTTCAAATGAAAACTATTACCAGCAGCCTGCATCTTTTCTTGCATCCCTATCCCCATCTGAATCATTGCAATCTCAACCACGTCTTCTAGACGGAGGGAGAGAATAAGAACAGCAGGGAGAAGGGCTCCTGTCCTTCCTTTGCAATAGATAGTAATTTTTGAAAGTATTTTGTCCACATGTATCAAATGTTCCTCCCTCATGAAGGTTTTTTGTTCCCGTGAGAGGAAAAGCCAAAATCTGTGTCTTTCTACACAAGTTATTACAGAAAAGTGGTTTAAAATAAACAGAGGTGGGACACACTTTGTATCCTGCCTGTGATTTAACCAACTGCTAGCTAGAAGTGCAACCAAGTCTGCCCAGTGTCCTGCATTTGTGAATTTTCCTTATGAGATTCAGCTACACTTGCTTGCTGCACCTCAAAAGTGATTTTGTTTTCCGAAGACTAGTTAGTGACTGTTAGCTCTTCTGATTCAGCCATAAATCCCAAGACAAATACAATTAGAGTCACACTGGGAAATAAAAAATCTTGAGATAGATACAAAGCAGACAGGCACAGAGCACAATAGGTCAGTCTGCTTCTTCCAAAAGCCTGACTCTGTGCTTCTGCCTGCACCTCACCACTGACAGGGTTGCTACAAAAAAGCATTTCAACTATTTCTACACAGGAAAGCAAAGTGACAGATGCCTCATTTTTTTCTGTTAAAGGTTAAATGAACTTTATCCCTCCTCCCCAGGAGGTCTGTGAGGAAACACTGAGAAGTGATGGGGTCCAATACTGCCCTTGGTAGGTGCAAGCAGAGGTGATCCCATCCAGTAGAGGAACCACCAAGTGAAGACTCAGAAGACCTGAAAGGTTCTGAGAGAGATCTGTTGGGTGATTTGGAGAAACTTCACTGCTTCTCTCCCCATCCACTTCCCTTTCTTCACACTCTGATTTTACTGATTTAGAGCAAAATACAGCAAGGAACATTCCTTATAATGCAATTATTTTATAGAGTAAGGTATTACCTCTTGCTGTGACTGCTTTAAAAGAAGCAGCAATTGAATGCGATCTACCAGTGTGAAATGATACAATTAAAAATAACAGGAACACCTACTACCTAGCTTACTATGTTGTTCTTTTCCTCCTACCTCTTTTTTTTATACAGAATAAAAATACCAATTTCTTTAATTGTTGTGCCTACTTTACCTGTCAAATAATGAGATATCTTCAGGGTAGCATTTGATGGGGGGTGTTGATGGGACTGCATGTGACCTTCTGATAAAGACTGTTTTTTAAAAGAATCAAATAGTAACACTACTTTTAAATTCTGTCCATTTCAGACTTTGAGAGTGTTTCAAACTGATGAAGTGTGCAGATGTTATAAAAATAAAAGGACACTGAAAGGCAAGTTTTACTGCTTTGCCAACAAGTAACTTACACAAATGAACTTTCAAGGTCACGCTGCAAAGTCATGAAATATCTGAATTGATCAATAGCATGCATCAGCCGTATCTTGATGGTCTTTTCTATCTATGGCACTGAAAAAGACTTTTTTTCCCTGTATAATCCATTGTAATAGCATTTTCTAAGTTAGCCGTAATGTTAGTATAGCCATGCTAGTCTACAGATACAAGAGATGCAAGACATCTATGGAGAGGTAATATCTTCTATTAGATCAGCTGAAATAGCTGAAAACAGTAGCCATACTTTTTCACTGCTTCCAGTTATAGCACCTTGTCTAATAGAAAGATCATTCCTCCCCACCATCTTTGTATTTACTACATTTTTGAACTATAAACTCATAACATACTGATGTAAAACACACATCTGACTGCTGAACGAGGTTTAACACTGCAATATTTGCAAGATTGCATCTGCTTAATAGTATTCTATGGGGTAGTGAATCAAGGAAAAGTCCACATTGAAATGATCAATGACTAGCACGGAACAGATATTTGAAATGGTGCAAGCTTTACTTATATAATTCACAATTTTATAACAATACTTAACATTTGTAAATACATGTTGATGTCTGCAACAATTACCTTTATAGATGTAAACAAATCATTCCACTACATAGCCACAAATTCATGTGTACAGTAAAACACTCACAACTGATGATCCATACTATAAAGGAAGCTGGAGAAAGTAACTAACCCAAATACCAAATAGATCTATGCTTGGCTTTCCTATCCTAAAGATGATTTCAAAATCTTCAAACATTGCAAAAATAATTTGTAAAAGTGACAAATATTTGTGCAAGGAAATGTCTCATTTTCAGAACAGGAGTGGCACACATTATAACACTTTATTCTGAAAGAAAGTTCTGTAGATGTCAATGGAAGGGTTTTTGGTGGGTTTTTTGTTTGCTTGCTTTTTCTTTTATTTTTTCCTTTTCTTTTTTTTTTTTTTTTTTTTAGTTTTAGTTTGGTTTTGTTTTTTGTTTTGGTTGGTTTGTTTGTTTTCTGAATAAAGTGTCCAGGATTCGGTTTGAAGTTTTTATTATTGTCATGCAACAAACTTCATTTTTTTCTCCACTCTACTGTAGAATTTAATTATAATTTCTAATGAAAAAATATTTCTCTGTTATGAGAAAGGTTACAATGACAATTTTTGAGGTAAGACTCTATCAAGAGTATATCAGTCAAAATAATGAGGGTGGTTCTCAGTCACCTAATGAAAGTTAGCTGTCACCTGAGATGCCCCAAGATGACCTGCTTGATTGCCAAGTGCTATTCTGCAGGTCCCTCATGCTGCCCCTTTAGAGACAGGTCTGATACCCTCAGTGTTAGGCATCCACCTATGGGCCACTGAATCAGTTTCTAAATCTTTGTGCACTTCTGTACTTGGGGCACAACTTTTCCCAGATGCCTGGAAAACACATACACTAACTGAGACATCCAGATGGAGTGGTCACATATATGGCATAAGACAGGCAATTGTCATCCTGCCAGTGAAATAAATGGTGGACAGGCTGCATATCCTAAAAATCTTAAATGTCACTGAATACTGATAGGTAGGTGACTAAATCAGTGCCTTTCATAAAGTAGTCTACATATAGGTGACTCTGTTGTGAACTGGATCCTGCCCTTGAAGATTAATCTGCCAACACCAAGGATATCTCATTAAAATATTGAACTGGAAGCCACAATGCATATGCAGCTTTGGTTCTAAAGGATTTTTTTGAGTTTTAAGTTCGGCAATCTCAGAGTAAGTACAGAGTTGGCTGTATAATGAAATGGATTTGAGAGTTTGGAGTAGTCTTCCCAGTGTACTTCCCTATATTCTACCTCTACAATTTGTCAACATATTTCTCAACTTGCTGAATTAGAGATGATCATTCTTCCTAGCCAGACAAGTCACCCACTTTGCCTTAGTGTTAGAGCAGGGCTGCAAATAGCACCCATTTACCAGTCACACAATGAACTTACTGTGCACTTGGAGATTTCACCCCCACCCTGAAGAGAAAGCTTCTGCACATAGGTAGAAAATCTGTCTTTTCCAGATGTGCAGGAGGCTGTGCATGACACAAGGTGCAGAACAGGAACTATAAGAAGCACAGCAGCTGGTAAAGAGCATCAGCTGCCCCTGCTGCCTCCTCTCTCTGGGCTGCTACTTCACCACATGACTAATTAGGGGTAGGCTGAGTGCCTAAACCAAATAGGTAAAATAAACTATGCTCTCACTACATTACAAATGAAGATAGCATTTTGTCAAGTAGAAAACACTGTACTAAGTTCTTTGAGTGCAGAGCTAATTCATTATAATGCACTTTCTATGCAATAGCCATACAGCCACACTACAACAACATAAGCATAGACACGAAAAAAACTGAAGAAACGGAGGACAAATCAACTTGTGCTATTTGGCTTCAGGCAAAAATTAAAGTGAGCCATGCTGAAAACTTGTCAACTTTTCCTATGCTGCCAGGATACCTGTCTTTGAAGACTGAAATGCCTGACAGCACTGCTTGCAGAAGCTTTTCAGTTTAATGTTGGAAAATATGCATGCAACCAAAATGAAATGTGTCATCTACAATGGTTCAACCCTTCAGTGTGAAGAGGGTAATGAAGAGATGAAAAAGTCTCTGTGGCATTTGCAACATGACTGTAATACCAAGAAGAGCAAAATAACAGAATTCTGAACTTTATTCTAGTTAAATATATCTTTTCTTTGGGTGTGTGATTATATGCTTGTGGATGCTAAATACATTGCCCTGGCAGACCAATTGTAAGAATCATGGTTTTAATCTGCCTTCAGCATCATGTGTGCAGCTCCCAGTAGAGTTAATGGGAGATGAGCATGATAAGGCAGAATTCACCATATATTCTTATTCAAACCAAATTCTGATATATTTCTCTTGCACTGTGATTTTTCAACATAGAAAGGGGGCACTTTTGTTCAAGAAGCAGTGCTGCTTTCAATTAATTGCATTTATCCCAAAATGACATGCTGCATAAACATAGGGCATGCTTTGGAATATTAATTCAGCTTTTTGGTTTTGCAAATGATTCCACCAGTCCTTTCAATGCAGGGACTGGCAAAGTTCTTTTGAAGATAACATTTATTATGCACATCAATATGCTTCAATGCAAACAGGACAGGCAAGATAACACATTTTAAAAGCTTTCTTGTTTTCCTTTTTTTTCCTTTCTGGCAAACAGGAATGTTTTATATTACTTTTCATTATTATTTTTTACTCAATTCTCCTAAGCTTGGAGCTATTTATGGAAATTACAGTATTCATGTATGATAGCTTCAGTCAAAGATATCAGGATTGGTATGAGAGGAAAATTTGGACTGAAAGCTTGTTATTCACATCGTTCTCTTCTCAGCTTGGCAAAGTTGAAGGTTAACGTCATCTGTTCTACACATTTCAGATTAGTCACAAGACTTTTCTTGGTGGTTCAGTGCCTGGTCATCCAGTCAGAGGAACAGTAATCCAATGGAAAAATTAGCTCAATGCTACTAGACTGGTGGTTAATACTTGAGCCTTAGTTAGGAATGTTCGCAGCATCTTGGGACTCTTTTCTTCCTTGATCAATTTCTTAAAATAGGATTCTTCATCAGAGGCTGAAAAGAGGAGGACTGTACTGAAGTATATTTTTTTTCCATCACCAAGTCTTTTTTTTTTCTTTTTTTTTTTAAGGAAAAAGATACATATATTTTAAATGTCCCATGCAAATAATAATAAATAAAATGTTACACAGTTTGGTTAGGAGTTACATTCTGAATTCCTGTATAGTAGTTTGGTTGGTTTGCATCCTGGAATGATAACCTTCAACAGGAGATTTTTTAAGACATACTTAATAAATAAATGCTAATACACACTGGCAACTAACTGCATTTTTAGTAAGAAAATGTGTTGGTGGTTTCACAGAATCACAGAATCAGTTAGGTTGGAAAGGACCACAATGGGTCATCTGGTCCAGCCTCTCTACGTGAGCAGGACTATCATAGAGCACGTGGCTCAGGATTTCCTTTGGATTATTTTAAACTCTGTATTAAATTAGAAAAATAATTTCTTAACACCACATACAGAATATTCCTTCCCATTTGAGACACAGTTTATTCTAAAGGGTTAACATGTCCTGTCTAAATGAAGCAGGTGAAAAGGGCAGTGAACTGAGATGTAAAATCTTAAAAGTGGTCACATAAAGGTCACCCTTTTCCAGTTGGCTTTGACAAACATCATCTTTAAAGGGCACGTCTGACTTCAGAGGCAAAATTGTTAAATATTTGTCTAAATACAATTTGTAAGAAACAATTGCTTTGAAAAACTATGTATTAAAATTGTAAATGAATGAAGCAACTGCATTCTCCTTTGCAACCACTCTTTAAAAACACCATAACCCTGGAAAATCAAACTCCAAATCTATTTAGATTGTATTAAAATGGAAATTTCATTGCAATGCTGAATAAGCATATTAATAAATGTTTAAATGCATCTACTAAATTAATGTTTTCATTCACAATTAAAAGCAGATAATCCAGTTCTGATTGGCTGACTGAACTATACTACTTAGAATTTTAGCACTTGCTAATGTCAATTATTGAGTTTATAATGTATCAACAAAAATGGACACTGGCATTACAGACATCTCATTTTATATCCTCTGTTTAGTTCTGTTGTTTAAGGAGTTTGGGTTTTTCTTCTCTTCTAGTTTCTCGAGTCAAGATTTATCAATTAGAGGCTGTAAGAACTCATATTTCTGAGTCTTACTTCAGTAAAAAATAGAAAAGACTGAATAAAAGAAAAAAATTACCACAACTCAATTTAAAAAACCTGATTTCAAGCGAATCATTATATTAAATGCATACCAAAAAACCTCTGTACACATGACAGTCAGTATAATTAAGATATATAGTTCTCACCCTCCCACTAACCTAGGAACCAGCAGACTAAATTAGTTCATAACTAGAAATTTGATTGTGTCACACACCAGTATAAACGTTAAAAAAAGAAACACCTTACCAAAATTGTAGTGACAACCACTGTTCTATTCTCAATGCCTGCAGTGTCATTTCCAAGTGTAGGTTCATGCTGAATCAAAACCAATTTATCCATGTCATTCCAATAACCAACCTGCAAAAAAAATTGTATATAATTTACAGTAAAGTATACATTCTGCATAATTACAAATATAAATTATTGTAAGAAAACAGAGGGATCTAAAGATGATTTTGTACCAAAGGAAGTGTTGTCATGTTAGACAGGGGGATCCATATCTAACACTTTGGGTGTACCACCTTGCACCACTGTGGCACACTGACAGACCCAGTATTGCCTCCACTCAGCTGCTCCTGAATGATCTCAGCTACTTGCTTCAACCAGAGCCACAAGTTAAATCCCACTTTCAATAGTCCGAAGCCTTCCTGGGGCATAAGTGAGATACATGAATTTTTGCTCCCCACAAGAAAAAAAAAGTGAAAGACCTGAATGACAGCTTTGCAATCCCATAGCTGATCTTAATTCCTTGCTCCATCATGGGCCTCCCAGGAGACCCCAACCCAGGGACATACACCAGGCTTGTTCCACTTAACTGCTGGCACTGACCTTTTAGTACCCACATGAGAAACCCTGTTATTTGAACTTTCTTTACACTCACTGCACCAACAGCACCAACAGACAGTGACTCAGCTCATGCAGGATAAGCACGCCTCCTAGAAATGTGCTTGCCTTTCCCACTGACTCTAAAGTATGGTGGAAGTGACTTCTCACTAAATGTGTCTTTGGGAAGTGCCTACAGGGAGGTGGAACAAATCAGGCTGTTCTCTCCCCGGCTGCATTTAGGCTGCCACAACCCTGCCCAGCCTTAAGATGAAACAGATGTTTTTGTTCATTGCTGGCAATGAACTACTCTACAATCAGGTTTGAATCAGTCATTCTTGCATTCACATTGAGAAAAAAACATGACCCTCTCTTTCCCCATCCTTGCCCATTCTCTTTTCTGCAACTAGATCATGGTGGTCTATGCATCCACTAACAAGGCTTCTTAGGAGGGGCTCAGTGGCTGTTCCTCTGACCCACCACTGACAGCACTCAGATCCGTGTGAAAAGGAGAACCTGAACACAAATGTGTTAGCAGAACAGTGTTCTAATCCCACCTAAAGGGCCTCCCAAGTTGCTGGGAATCTAATGAACTGGGAGGCTGATCTTTTTTCCCAGCATGATTTCACGGACACATGACTTAAAAGGTTCCTATCAAAGAGATGCAATTCAACCTGGCACAGTTCACTTGCCAGAAGCACCTAGGAACCAGCCAGCAGCAACTGCCCCTTCCCCCATTCCTTGATTAATTAAGGGTTCATGAGCTCAAGAGCTGAGAGAAAGGAATGCCTTGTATATATTACTAGAAGAGGAAAGGGAATTTTAGTGAAAAGTGGGCTCCAGGCAGAGCTCCAGTGTAACTGTCAGTGCCAAGGAACATTCTATGCCTTGGATGAAAAGACTTTAGTATGATGGAAACTGGCTGAATGATCATATGAGTTATGCAGCCAATATTATTTCTAATATTATTGTAGAACTCAGATGAAAATTCGCCATCATGTAGGATTCTCCCTCTGTGATGTGGAGAAACATCATGTTCAGTGATGAGAATGTAAAAGTGCAGGGGAGTGCTTTTGGTTCCTGGTCTCATATGCATTATATATATCCTGTATATTCTTAAAACAATCAACTTTCCTCTTGATTTTGACATTTGCTAATTCATTAATGTCCTTTTAAAGAAAAAAATTATGGAGAGGCAAGTCATTTTAGTAGTCCCTAGAGGAGTATGATTGAACATGAGTGACTTTTTTTTCTTCTATTAGTGAAGAAAACAAGCACAAACTCTGCCCATGCACAACTTCTAGCATATTTAGTTGAAATGTTTCTTTTTACTTTGTGAGTGCTCTTACAGCATAGGAGCCTTGATTCAGGCGTCTGCAGCTAATAGGAAGCATCAGCATTTCTGATACAGTGGGGAAGGAGATTTTCTTCCTAGCAGGATGCACTGCTAAGAAATATTCTTTTTCATTCAGACAGCCATACAGTCACAGATACAACTGATTATTGAAAATGACAAGTTCTTGTCAAAAACTGTGACCACGCTAAAGGCAGAACAGGACCACCAAAACCTGGCAGCTTGGCAAACTCTTTATGATAGGGAATGATTGTGCAATTCCTCACTTCTATGAAGTTCAGAAGGAAAGCAGAAAATTAATGACATGCTATGCTATAAAAGCAAGTACCATATGAAAATGCAGACACAGATAAAGACAGTTTTTGAGACATGACAGGCATTTGTAAAAAAAATTTCAGCTTGTGTGCATTGGTGTCAGCTCGTACAGGTTCAGTTAAAACTGGTGTTATAGTAACTCTGGAACTGGACTATTGAACAAATATGAAAGATATGTCATGACACCTGTACAAGTATATGGATTCACAGTCACTGTGAGAGCACTAAATTACAATATGCTATCTTATAACTACCTCAAGTCCACAAGTTAAAAAACCCCTCAAAGGATAGGATTGAATTCAGATATCAAAGTACATCCAATTCTATTTGGACAGCAATAGGACTTCATAACAGTTGCATGCACTTATACAGAGGCTGAATTTTTCCTCTTAGCAAAAAACACTGCAAAAATATCTGCCTCAAAGTAAATTTGTCACAACAGTTTGGCATTTGAATGAATAGTGTCATTTCTGAAGGCCTGCAAAGGATAGGATTGAATTCAGATATCAAAGTACATCCAATTCTATTTGGACAGCAATAGGACTTCATAACAGTTGCATGCACTTATACAGAGGCTGAATTTTTCCTCTTAGCAAAAAACACTGCAAAAATATCTGCCTCAAAGTAAATTTGTCACAACAGTTTGGCATTTGAATGAATAGTGTCATTTCTGAAGGCCTGTGCACCTTGTAAACTGAAGTGC